AGGAAATCATATAAGCACACGAATCACATTGGATAGTAGACATGAATAAATAAACTATCAAACCAAACAATGTGGTCAGGAGTATTAGATTAGAGAAAGACCGTATTGCATTTGTAATCCCAACTGAATAGGTTTTCTCTACCTCTTCTGATTAGCTTGGGTAACCATGATATGCTGCAAGGTGTCACTCATAGTTTGTGGAAGCCCTAAACATGTGTAATCACTAAAGGGAGAATTGAAAGTAAGTTTCAATTCACAATCGATGTAAAATGGTTTTAATCGCCCACTGCCTCGCTAAAAGGAACCTAATGGATCGCACACCGTGTAAGGAGGAGATTGAAGAAACCATGGAGATGAGTAAGAATGATTAAATGGTTTAATCATTTATTTATGGCAAGGATTAATTAATATGTTAATTAATCAAACGAATAAGTTCGTTAAAAAACCTCGGGATAAGTTTTGGACCTTAAGGCCCAATGGGCTTCGAACGTCAAGCCCATTAACTTAAGTTGTATGACAACTTAATGAATAATGATTCACAAAGGCCCAATTAGTCCAAAATATCCTAATGGCCGGCCATATTGTTTAGGGTAGTGAACTTGGACTTATTTACAAGTTTGCCACTCAAATGAATAAAGGTATAAATATGACTTTATAGCCAAAATTCATAAAGGGTTTTCTTTTGGAGAAAATTGGTGAGAACTTGTCTCTCCATTTCTCTCTAAAGAGGCCAGCCACCTTGGGGGGTGCATCTTGCAATCCCACTACTCCAAGGTCACTCATTTCTTCTCCAATCTCTCCTTGGTGAAGAGACTTAGAGGTTCTCAATTTTGGGAACTTGGAGAAACCTATTCTTCCATCCAAATCCATAGATTTAAGATGCAAGGAATGAAGGCCCTCTCTTTGGGTAATTAGCCTTTGCTTATGCAAAGAGGAATCTACAAAGGTATAAATTTCAACTTACTATGTTTTGAGTTGAGTTTTGGTTCACCAATCTATTAGGCTTTGAATTTCATGGTTAATGTTTTGTTTTTAAGTGCATGCAAGCATGATTCCGCCTTTAATTGTTAATTGCATGCTTAATGATGTTGCTTAAATGAACATGTTTTCACAAAATATTCCTTCATGTGCATCAACAAATTTCAAAAGTTTGATGGATTAGGAATAAATTTTAAATCTTTGTCATGTTTTGATATACAAATGGATGATCATGATTAATTTTTGGGTTTAATTTAGCTATTGATGATTGTGGATGAGTTGTGAAACTTCTTTTCTATTATGTGATCTATGCCTGTTATGTTTTTCTTATCTTGATTATATTTGATTGAGGTCATGATGATTTATGGGTATTTTTAAATATGATCCAGGTCTGAGCATTCTGGTTAGCAGGCCCGCTTAGTTGAATCAGCTAAGTTTCATGTCTGACATCAACGTACAACTTCCCACTGCCTTTGGTATGTTTTCTGTTAATTCATAACTCATTTGAGTGTGTTTGTGCACTTGAATGCATGCATGTGTACCTAGATGCCCGAGAGATCATTTTTTAAATTGAATTCAATTGGATAAGTTTTTTAATCGAAAACCTGGGTACCTAGATGCTCTAAAGATCATTTCAGTCATCGATATAGTACTGCTGTAATTTAGTAGTCGTGCAGTTTGAAAATTGGTGTGTAGTTGTTTGTGGAATTCAAACAATTTATAGGTTACAGCATTCACATTTCATAAGGAGATATTGACATAGATAAATGCAGTAGATTAATGTGACCATCTAAAAATCTACACTACATTCTATCACAACTCATTTTAATAACATTTATAATCTCATTTGTCATGCTAAAATTTTAGGTCTCTTTCTTTTAAATTTTTCTGCATACCGAGTGTAAACATTGTTGATAATGTCGTTGTTTACAATTCACAGTCAGTGGACATAACCTAGGGAAAGAGTGAAAGAGTGAAAGAGTACGCAAGTATTTCCTCTGTTTTGGGTGAGTCTCAATTAACCAGTGCATATAGTTTGCTTCATTCTATCACTACTCATTCTAATAACATTTATAATATCATTTGTCATGCTAAAATTTTGGGCCTTTTCTTTTAATTTTTTTTGCGTACCGAGGGTAAACATTGTTGATAATGTTGTTGTTTACAATTCACAGTCAGTAGACAGAACCTAGGGAAAGAGTGAAAGAGTATGCAGATATTTCCTTTCTTTTGCATGAGTCTCAATTGCCCAGTGCACCTATATTTGATAATAAAATTTGGGGTGTGATATCCACACACCCCTTTTTACTTCTCTCACACCTTTTTAATTTTTGGGCGTCGGATTGGATGAATTGAAGAAGATCAAATGACAGAAATTAACAAAGGGTGTGTGAGAAGTAAAAAGGGGTATGTGGATAGCACACCCCTAAAATTTAATACATAATTTGAATGGATCAAAGGTTTTTTATTGTGAAATGTTTGACTGAAACTTTTAGACTCAATCAAATAACCGTTTATAAGAGATTAAGACACATGTAGGACCTATTGTAAAAGAAAAATAAACAAAGGTGAAATCATTGCTACAACTATAATTTGGTTTTGTCATTTATAGATGATATTCCTTGATAATTATCAAATAAAACTTAATTTTGACATGTCTACCACTTGCATTGTACTGAAATGTCTTTAATCTTTCACTTTTATACCGCTACTCCAATGTTTTCTAATGTAGATCCATGTGGCGTTTAGGAAACCAAAGCTTATGAAGTTTGAATATTTTCCATTTTTAGCTTAGTTTTGGGTAGGGAATTTTGATGAATTTATGTTTTTTTTCCTCTATTTTTCAGTGTTTTCAGGCGGTTGGAGTTGAATATGGAGAAGGTTTTGAGACTTCTAGACCTATTGGACCTCTCAAGGTTTATGTGGTAAGGAATTTATGGAGTTTTATGTATGGTAGTGAAATTGTTTCTGTGTTATGTTGAATTTAATTTAGGGGTGTGCTATCCACACACCCATTTTTACTTCTCCCACACCCCTTATTAATTTTTGTCCTTTGATCTTCTTCAATTCATCCGATCCGACGGTCGAAAATTAAAAGGGTGTGAGAGAAGTAAAAAAGGGTATGTGGATATCACATCCCTTTAATTTAATGGTTATACTTTATGTTGTTATGACTTACTGTTGTTGATTTTTACTCTTGAGTTGGATTTTTTGAACGACAGACTGCAACGAGATTTTCATAAACTGATACGATATGCCATGAAACTGGATGAAGCTTATGGTCGTATATTCTCTTTTGACAATTTCGTGGTAAGTTTCTATAACACTCATTAGTTATGTGTTCCAGGTTATGATGACTAGATGAATATCGTAGCCATCACACTTTAACTGTACAATTATTAAAAGATATCTAAATGCTTATCAGTGAATTTTTCCGGCAAGTGTTTTCGAGTTTTTTTGGTGAATTTCTCTATCTTCATTTTATTTTTTATGTTGCATGTAATAGTTTATGGTCAATGTGATTAGATTGTGTAGGAAGGCTAGCAAGTAGCAATGCTGCTTCTTTTTAAGTTAGTTACTCTTCTTATTGCAGACAAAACCATTGGGATAATAACCTTGCATTTACATTCTTTCGAAGCAATCCATATGTCCATATTGGTAAGCATAATTTTCCTATTTTTCTTTGATTATATATTTAATCAAATTCTAGTATTTTAACCAACAATTTGTTACTATAAAGGAATTAGCTTCATTTATTCAAAACCTAATTAGTTAATTTATAAATTTATCTTTGTAAAGTTTTGATGCTTGGATTTTAAATATCTTAGCAATTACCTCAAAATCTCTAATAAATTTACCAATTTTTTGTTGGAAATTTTGGAATTTTGGGTCATTGGAGAAAGAGGAAGAGTTTAGAGATCCCAAGAAGGAACATGGAAACTGCATCAGAGACTGTAGCTAAATTGAAACCAAATCCCCACCCAGAATGTCAATTTTATTTATAGACTTTCAAAGACACTTCCATTGCCTTACCTTTGTCTCAGCTTCCCCCAGACTGTTAAGTTTTGTTGCTTCTCCTTCTCCTTCATTTATTCCTGTAATTTTTCATGTTTTACAAATTATTTGAATTTTGGATATTTGATTTTTGTTTCATTATGTATTGGGGTTTGTTTGATTAATATGTTCTGTTGTGTTGTGTGAAATTGCATTCTTTGTTTTGGTGTGTTTTATTGGATATGTCAGAGTTATACAAATGCATGAACAACACATTACAATTTTGCGTTTAAAAGATGTCCATTTTATGATGTTTTTGTGTTTTTCAGCTACTTTGTTTTTTATTTTCAACCCAAATAATTAACCTGCACTATGTTGTTGCCTCTTTTCTGTATGCATTTTTCCGTGCACGCTTCATGCCGAAAGAAGAACGAGCAAGCCACTTTCTTGGAGGATTTGAAGGATCACATTGATGATTTTGTTAATGCATACTTGCTTCAAGACCATTGTGCAAAAGGTTTGTTCCCCTTTCGCATTTAATACTTATACGGCATGTTTGCAAATGTTTTCATTGTTCAATTGGTTTGCTTCAAATTTTGATTAGGTAATTTTGCATTCGTTTTTAGTTCTTTGGAATGTCAAAGAGTTGCCGCAGAGATGAGCAACGATACCAAGGAAGTTGGAGTGAATTATCTATGTAAAGTAACAAAATAAGAAATTTTTTGCAGCAAATAAAAATCTTTCCTATCCTGAGATATCTTTATTTAGATTAATCAATGTTATTCCAACATATATTATTAGCTCAAATTCATATATTGCAGCCGATTTCTATCGCACAGCAACGCACGGGCATTAGTATCTAGCTATATATACTAAACTTGGTTTTGAAATCACTGTTCAGTAACAGTGATTTGACGAATTTGCCCTTCAGTTGTTAACCATCTTCAGCCTTTTTCCTTAAGTTGTACAGTACATTTACTAATTTTCCCCTGATGTACACGTGTTGGTCATCGTGGGATTGGAAATGTTCTCGACTTTTCCATTTGTTTCCACAACGAAGCTTTTCCATTTGTTTCCAGATGAACCTCTCCGGTTCACTCTCTCAGAACTGCGAACTACAACATCCTCCTCGGTTCGACGTCATCTCCTCCCTTCCCCTTTGTTGGACAACATCTCCCCCTCCAGGCTCCTCCCTCATTCCTTTTCCTCCGTTAGGCAGCGTCTCCTCCGCTCCTTCTCCTGGGTATTTTTTTATCTCTATATTTCCTCATATCCCTCTTGCCTTTACCAATTATTGACTAACGAGTTGACCATGTGTTTTCAATTTTGCAACCAAACCCAGGTCTGAAAAGAAAAGAGCTGCAGATTACGGTGGCTCAGTTATCTCCTCCCGAATGTCCGTCGTGCCAACATCACCCTTGAAGAGCAGGTTCTGGTTCTTGAGCTTCACCCTAGCTGGGGTAACATGTAACTATACATAATCATCATCAAAACATATGATAAATAATTATTCTAATTGCATGCACGAATATTCGAGCTTTGCAAGTACCACCGATGCTCTTCCCCTTACTCAATCTACTGTTGTTGCTTTATCTCCGTTCCTCTGCCTTGAGAGATCGGAAACTGGAAACCCCAAAGTTGAAATAGAAACCTAATGTTCTTTTCTCTTCTTTTAATTTTCTCTTTTTCTTCACTGAAAAAAAATCCCTAATTTGGTTTTTTTTTTTTTTTCGATGGAATAACGGCGTCTTAAGGATGATTTGGAGCCCAAAAAAAAAAAATCCCTAATTTTCTCTGCTTCTTGAGATCGACGTGGCTTGAAATCAAGTGTAAATCTACATTCAAAATATTAGGTAAAAGCATGTTGACAAATCATCTCCAAATGTTGTAAATACAATACTTCTTACTAACTTTTTTTTGCTTATATTCAAGAGAAAAAAAAAAAAAAAAGAGTTGCACTATGGATTGATGTTGCAAAGAACGTCAGTTCCATTGTGGTGCAACAATTAGTCCCGCCAACATTTGTGGTTATCATAAGCCTTAAGGTTAAACAATTTACATATCAACGACTCTACAGTTTCTAATTGGATTCAAATTAACACAGATACATTTGAAAATTAGTTGGGGAAGGCATGGTCTGATGTTCTTTTTCATTTTATGCGTGCCAAGGTCCAACTGTGTGTTTAATATAGGACAATTTGGCTCATTTGTCTTGATTAAATTATTGAATTTCGTAGATTGAACTATGTACATTTTGAATTTCCAATTCAAAAGTACTGAATTGTAAAACTGTTTTGCAAGGAAATTGTGTGTTGTTCATGTGCATTCTTCATTGTTTACGCTTTCAATTTAAGAGAATGCCATATATTTTCAACGGTAACCAACAATATCTTTTCAGATAATCAAGGGAGTATGCCCATGATGTGTTATTAGGGTAATTCGAGTGCAATAATTTTGTGACAGATATTAGTTTGAAACATTGACTGCCTTCACATGTCTCTTCCATTTAAATACTCGATTGGGAGCTTACTGTATTTGTAACCTTATCTTAATGCCCTGTGTCATATCCTACTTAAATATTGAAGAATGACTATTCTTGCGTAGTTGTATTAGACATAAGCTATACCTAAAGTAGTTGTAGCACCTTAGAATTTTGGAGGTAATCCGATCTGAGGCCGTTTGCAGCTAATGATTCTCAGTTTCTCGAGTACACCAGTAAAGGTCCTTTATCTTCATTTCTCATTGACATTTGTTTTTCCTTGATAACATAGTTAACAGTGCTTTTAGCCTGTTATTATAGTTACTGTTAACAATGACTTTTAGAGAGAGAGAGAGAGAGAGAGAGAGAGAGAGAGAGAGAGATGGATATACCAAATGATGCATGTTCAAGGAGTACTAGAACAACATTATTGGAATTGTATAACAATACTTGCCATAATTTTGGTAAGGAATCAGTTGACAGTGTGGGGTTCATGAATTTGGATTTGGATTTGGCATTCTCTAATATTAACCAAGGAGTGGAAATTTTGATTGGTTTGATTGGTATTTTGGGTATGTTGTTTGCATTCAACATTCTATAATTATGAGAGAAACCAAGATCATCGTATTATATATTTTATTAACATTCAACATTTATAATTGTGCTTTTTCAAAAAAACAAAATACATTTATAATTGTGAACTATCTTTGTGGGTTTATCAATTTATTTTTTATGGTTTTCAGTTTCCTAAATGAAGTTTGACATGTATGGAATTTGACAATTTATCTTCGTTTGCATTCTTGCATTTGAATTTGTAAGTCAGTTTGTGCTAAATGCTATTTAATAATTTAGAAAACGTTTCAATTGTTTCAATTGATTGTTATGCAACACAGTTGGAAACTTGATGATTTAGAATCAGCTTATCAATCTTCCATACAATTTCTAATCCCGCAGCAACGCACGGGTAACAATTTCTAGTTAAGATCTAAAACTTAAAGCAAAATGAAATTTGAACTATAAAAATACAAATTGAAAAGGGTTAGATTTTAGCAACTTGTAAATATGAGGTAGTGCGATTTCAAAATTTTTAGGAGATCGAATTGTGGCTGGACTTAAACAACTAACAAATCACACATATTGAACAATGAGAAAAAATTCCTATGTATTTAATTTTGTTACAAAAAAAAAAAAAAAAAAGCTATGGCAATGGCTAGGGTCGGTGGCAACCTCCTGTTCTTTTCTTTCCTTTTCTTCTACTTGCGTTTTCCCCTACTTTCCATCCCCCATCTCTTGTCCTCCATCACTTCTTCCTGTCTTTTTTATCGGTCGATCTAGCCCCAATCTCCAATTCCACTTCGATTCCTTCGTCTTCGTTTCCCACCACTTTGATTCCTCTATATTCATCTCCGACCACTTCGATTCCTCCCATCCTCCATCCCTTCTTACCACTTTGATTCCTCCGACAATTTGCTCCATCACCTCACGATTCCATTATCTGCAACCACATTTCTTAAGCGCATTTTGTCTCGGATTTTCCGGCGACAGCAGGGGCTGCAAGTTTCTAGGTTTTCTTGTTCTGTCTTTTGTTTGTGCTGGGCTCCAAAACTTGTGTTGGGCTATGGTTTGTCAGCTATTGAGCTCCATTTATTTGTTTGGTGTTTGAATTGTAATTGGGCCTATACTTATGTACATTTTTTTTGTTGGTAATATATTTAATTTACCTTTCAGCCAAAATAAATCATTTTTTTTAGGTTTTTTTTTTCTTTCTCATTTCTCATTTTTCAATTCGTTTTTAGTGATGTAGGATGAAATTTCTAATATGCCTCCAAATTTAACGAAAAATTAGACATCATTAGTGAAATGGCCAATGGTACAACACATTTTTTAGTTCAAAGACTAAAGAAACTAATATAAGAGTTGAATAACTAAAATTAAACTAAAGGTAAAATTCAGGACCATTGCTACAATTAAACCTTTCTTATTATACAATCTTTTCTGTTTTCACTACAAGCTCATTCTAGATGCTTGCGATGAAATTCGATTTTCTTGAACTAACCCAATTTCAAACCGTGGTTGTTGATAGGAATGGGCAACGGTTATAATGGGCAGGTAACCGCGATTATTTACTCATAACCGTTTATGCTCATATCCGCATAACAGTTTACCCGTTGGGTAATTGCCTAAATGGTTATACCCATACCCATAACCGTTTATAAACGGTTAACCATACCCATAACCGCATACCCATTTAACCGTAACCGTTTAATACCCGTTTACTCATTTATCCTTTTAACCCGTTTATCTTTTTTTTTTTTTTACCATTACCCTTTTTTCACCCGTCTACATGTTTTTTAACAACTTGAAAATAAAAAAAAATTGTCATAATTTTCTTTTTTTTGACAATTAAACACCGTTATAGGTACATTCATCATACATTTCCATATTTTAATTTTTTAAGTCCTTATACCATTCCAATAATTGAAATAATAGTTTACGGACGATATTTGTAACTGTTACCAATGAAGGTAAATATAATATTGGGAGTTTTAACGAAAAGCCCACGGTACTGTTTACTTTAATGAAAAACCACATTTTTACACTAAAAAGTCAAACCTGATACTATTCACTTTACCCTTTATTTTGTCCTTATCATTAAAACTCAAAGTTTTCAAGCCATTTTCATTAGTTTTCCTTATAATATTTGCTAAGTATTATTGGGTTACAAAAATTGTTTAGAAGACATTTATGTCAATTTCACGGTTACCCGCCAGAAATTTAAATTAATTTGGCCAATTCCTTGATGATGGGAATCATTCCTATAGCAGTGTTATTGAGAGAAGGACCGAAGAATTCTTTGCTAATTTATTGGGTGCTAAGTATTATTGGATTGAGAACATGGTTTGTGTTAGTTTTACATATATAAAATAAATGGGTAAACGGTTATCCATTTATAACAGTGATTAATACCCATAACCGCCCATTTAAATTTCGCGGGTAAACGGTTATACCTATAACCGTTTATTTATCTAAACGGTTACCCATAACTGTAACTATTTAATTTAAATGGGCGGGTAACCGCGGTTACCCATAACCAATGGGTATTTGCCCATCCCTAGTTGTTGAGCAGAATTGACAAATAACGACTTCGGTGACTTATTTAAATGCATGGAAAGCATCATGGTCATGGAGTGGATTAGACTTAAGTGTGAAAATGTGAGGATAAAGTTCCACATTCGTGAAAAACCAAATTATGTAAGTACTTACAAGAAATTAGATTACTCTTTATATTGTCACTGTTTGGTATCTAACTCAAAAAAGTTTATAATTCTTAAAAACAACTTGGATGAACTTCTCTCAAGAACAATTTTTTTTTTTTTACAACCCAAAAACTTGTTTGGTATGAAATCATGTTGTCTTCAGATGGGTTTTGTTCACATATATGATGGTGAGTTGCTAATTTTAAATGTTGCCATTGAAATTGAGCAAATTGAGGTTGAAATAAAGCTTTGGTAATGGCGGAGAGGTGAGGTTGGGGCTTGTGGGTGATTAGAGTGAGAGGACGGTGGGTCAGGGATAGTGGGAAGAAAACATCTCAGTCCTTGGAAAGGTCCATGTCACAGTCGTCGGAACATCTATTTCAGTCGCCGGAAACATATCTCTCATCACCACAAGTTACTCTCAGTTGTTGTTTGGTGTCATTAGCCTCGAAGCCAAGGCCATGCAGGTGTTGTGAAGAAGAAAAAAAAGTAAAAACAAACTTTTGTTATGAGATTTTTGGCTAGTTTTTGAGTTCAAGTTTCGCAAAACAAACTTACTAAATAAGTTTTTGAGTTAAAAACCTTGAACTCAAATAAAATATCAAACGGACTCTTAATTTTCTTCCTTTTGAGTTTTGAGAGTTCCACCAGCTAGAAGCCAAGAAGTCTTCGTTGAGAGGACACGATTTTAGAAACTTTCAAACTAGATTGATATGGAGATGAACAGTGGCGGATCTAGGATTTTAACATTGGGTGGTCCCAATATAAAAACTTTAAAAAAATTAGATGAAAATATTATTAAAAAACTAGACAATAAACTATCAACCAACTTTTCATTCATAATCTTCATACAAACAACATATCAAGCTACAAAGACTAAATGCAGTTTATGTGCTACATACTACAGTTTGGGGTCATTTTCAAAGTGGATCACAAGGTTTCAATTTCAGCATTTTATGCCTAATTAAATGTCTTTACTTTTACTTTTATTATTGGTTTAAAACAAAGCAAATAATTCAAGTGGGTTAGGGCTTTCCTCTTTAACCCACTGTGTCTTAGGTTCAAACTTTTTTCTTCTCTTATTGTAAAATAAGTATAGAATTATCCTCTATAATTAGAAAACAAAGGAAACAAATGAAAATGAAAACACAAAAAAAAAAAAAAGGAACTAAAGAGGAGAACACACAGACAACCAAGATGAATTGATCAGCAATGAAAAATTAGACTAGAAAAGGGAAGGAGGATGAGGGAAGGCAGTAGAGAACCAAAAGGAAATAATTTCAACAAAAAACAGAAAAGCAAAGACATAAATAAAGTGATGTGCCATTAGTTTCTATAAGCTAGGACCCAAAAACTAACAGCCTCACAAATACTCAGTAAATGAATAGATAAATCTCTATAAGCCAAGACCCAAAAACAAACAGCCTCGCAAATACTCATTAAATGAATAGATGAAACGACATTGTCCAGTCGAGGATTAAGAAAAAAAAAGAGCAAATTTTCTCCTTCTTCTTCCTCAGGCTGCCTCCTGGTTCTTCTTCACTAGCCGCCATTACCTTCATACACCCAGACTTGGGTGGTCCCTTAGTAGATCCGTCCCTGGAGATGAAGTGGGACAAGTGACCCCTACGTAAACTCATGACAATGATTGAGTAAAAATATACCGACTAGTTTTTTATTTATTTTTATTTTTAAGAGAAAGACGGCACTATATATATAGATATATATATATATATATATATATATATATTTATTTTTATTTTTATTTTTGAGTTCAGCATACGATATTCATTTATAAAGGAATTTGAAATTCATACATTACATGGAGGATATGGTGCAAAATAAAGAGCCTCGATAAAAACCTGGGGCACGCAAAGGAAATGGATTTCAGAAAAAAAATCTTATTCAGGTAAAATCGTATGAGAATTTCAACACCCAAAAAAAAAAAAAAAATCATATGAGAAAAACACTGGTAAAGAAAAAAACAAAGCATACGTGCCATAAATACTTTCAACCAATTAAACTGAGGTTGCATAACAGATTGCGAGTTAGAATAGTCATTTCGTATTAACTCATAAGCCATGGATGTCCTTCCTCGATTCAAAATATATACTGAGCAATCCGATGTGTCATTTAATACTTTCGAATTCCAATCATATAACTTTAGAATTTTTCTACATAAGTTCATTTATATTCGATGCTGCCTATTTAATAATATCAAGAACTCCCAAATATTTTCCGTTTCTTCGGGGACATCCTATTAAACTCTCAATTATTTTTTAATTGCAGACTTATTAGGTATTTGCAAAATGATAATATTTGGTACTCATAAGTGAATACTCATCTTTTGGTTTTGTCCAATAATATTTAGCACGTGTTATTATGACCCGTACCTTAAATAATTATATTTAATTGTTAAAAGTGTGAAATGACTAAAATGCTCCAATGAGGCTTGTATTGAATAATTATGGACGACTGAGTTTAAATTCATTTTTCTCGTGTTTTCTATTTTGTTTTCAATTAGTTTTCATACTAACGAATGCATGGGTGAAAACATATTAAAAACGGACTTACGAAAATACAAAGACAAAGTTTTGTTCTTGGTTAATGATGGGCAAAATAGTAAATTCACTTGGAAAAATTTTTTTGAGTGGTTTAAGACCACACTCGATGACACACCCCAATCTGGAAGTTCCACCTGGACTCCTAATCGAGTTGTGATGGGCGATACCAGGAAGGTGATGAAGCCAATAATGTGTAGTGATGTGGAAAATGTGCATAAATTTAAACCTAAAAATGTATATTACAATAGTGCGCATGTGAGTGGGTTGAACCCTAATGCCAGAGCATAAGTAAAGTACAGTAAAGTTGGAATAAGAATTAAACCATCATAAGTAATCTCCTATATCAACTTTTGCTAGAA